GGGCGGGGGCTGGGGATGGACAGGGCTGCTACCTGGGGTGGACGGGGGCTGGGGATGGACAGGGCTGCTACCTGGGGAGGGCGGGGGCTGGGGATGGACAGGGCTGCTACCTGGGGTGGACGAGGGCTGGGGATGGACAGGGCTGCTACCTGGGGAGGGCGGGGGCTCGGGTCGGGATGGACAGGGCTGCTACCTGGGGAGGGCGGGGGCTCCGGGCAGGGCACCGTCACTGCGTGTCTCAAGCAGTCGGTCTGGCAGCTGCTGAAGAACGGCTGGATCTGGGGGAGCGGAGGCCGGGTGTCAAGAGGCTGGGCTGTGGTGAAGCCTGCGGTTCGGTTACTCCGGAGGCCGAGGCAGTGGGGCTGCTTGAGCCCGATTTCAGCACAGCTGGGGCAACGCTGCGCGGCAAGGCAGTCAGGGCAGATCGCACCTGGGATCCCGGCTGCCGGGGGTTCAAGGCCAGCTGGGAAAAAGGCTAGTGAAACCCCATCTCAACCAGCAAGCTGGGCGTTGGGGTGCACATCTGTGGTTCCGACTGCATGGGAGGTACACATAGGAAGACCATGGCCCAGGCTGCCCAACTGAAAAGCTACTAAAGCAACACAGGGCGAGAGAACAGCGTGGCTCAGGAGCAGAGCGCCCGACTAGCAAGTCAGAGACCCTGTGTTCAAACCCCAGACTCTCCCCAAGGCCTAAGACCAAGACTTCCTCCCCCCCACCCCCCGGCTGCTGGACTGGGGTCCGGTCCACACGAGGCCCCAGGAGAGAGGCAGCCAGGGGAGCTGGCTGTGGGGCACCCTACCCCCAGACGCCACTCTGCATTGTGCAGGCCGACCTCACCCGTGCACGCCCCCCACGCCCATGCACACCCCATGCCCGTGCACACCCCCACACCCGTGCACGCCCCCACACCCGTGCACACCCCCACACCTGTGCACCCCACACACCCGTGCACACCCCGTGCCCGTGTACACCCCATGCCCATGCACGCCCCCACACCTGTGCATGACCCCCACGCCCATGCACACCCCATGCCTGTGCACACCCCCACACCCGTGCAC